TTACACCTTCTGTTCGGTCACAATGCATCTGGGCTAACGGTAGATCTAGACCGGGGTTTTCGCTTCAAAGTTCTACGCAGAACCGGGACGGCGGGTACGCTATATAGCCGGTATGTGTGTGCAGGACAGTAGATGAAAACTATAACTCAGGCTTACCACACCTGCGACAACCACATACAGCCCCACAAATGAGGCGTTCGAAGGGCAGGTGGGGATAGATGGTCGTTGTACAATGAAAGAGAAGGCGTTTTCCTGAGTATGGCTCTGGTGTGGTGCTTTCCCATAGAATCCCCTCGCAGCTTCCTCTGTATCTTTAGACTTCAAACCGCACTCACGAATTGCTGGAGATGCTCTGCTTTACTCTCTTGTCTCTTCTGTTCTTAGCGACGACTACCGCTCTTAACTTCGACTGGGAGCGCGAACAACTCACTGGCGAGGACTCGGCTCGCAATCAAGCATTGCGTTTTGGTAGTGCATCGGTGACGGCGACGTCTGGTAGATGTAAGATCATTCCACGTGACGCTGAGTGGCCGAGCGAGGATGACTGGGCGTCTTTCAACAATACACTCGGTGGTGCGTTGTTGAAGCCCAAGCCGCTTGCCAGTGTCTGTTATGCTGGCGAGGGCTACAGTGCTGCGAAATGTGACCAGTTGAAGGGGAGTTGGGCAGGCATGAATCTACAGTGAGTTTACATGGACAAGAACTAGACTTTCATCTTTATCGTACTGATTATGACAGCTCCGATGACTCGGCAAGTATCCTATCTCAATGGGCATCTGGGAATACGTGCACGCCAACCTCACAGCCAGACTCAAATTGTACCCAAGGCGGTTGGCCACAGTATGTTGTCAAAGCCACTACAGTAAGACACATTCAACTCGCAGTCAACTTCGCTAGGAATCAGAACATTCGGCTCGTCATCAAGAATTCGGGTCATGATTTCAACGGGAAGTCCATCGGTGGTTATTCTCTTAGTGTATGGACGCACAACCTCAAAGGCATAGCGTACGACCCTAGTTACACGTCGCCCACTGGTTCATATACGGGAAGAGCGGTTACATACGCCGCTGGTGTGCAGGCTTATGAAGGTTCTACATTGATGCGACAGAAGAACATGGTCATGATCGTTGCAGGAGGAGGGACCGTAGGTATCGCAGGTGGTTTCCTCCAAGGTGGCGGACATAGCTCCTATACTAGTTATTATGGACTGGCCGCAGATCAGGTGCTTGCCATCACGGCTGTTACAGCCGATGGCAAGGTGGTAGAAGCACATGAGGGAGAGAACGCTGATTTGTTCTGGGCTTTCCGCGGAGGTGGTGGAGGTACATGTTCCCGACATGGGGAAAAGTTACAGCCACTAACGAATAACTAGGAACATTCGGGATCATCACGTCCGTCGTCGTTAAAGCGTTTCCAGTCACGCCCCTAGCATCGAGCAGTATCCGTTTCTCAACCACACCAGATCGCGGATCGACTGCGCCTCCGATCTCCACGGAAACCTTCTGGGCTGGCATGCGAGCGTACTGGGAATTCTCAGTCGCCATTTGTGATGCAGGCGGCTTGGGTTACAGCTTCATTTACCCTAACAGTAGCATACCTGGTCTTACTTTCGCCGTTAGTATATCTGTACCAAACCAAACTACAACAGAACATCGACGTTTCGTGCGCCCGCTACTTCAGAAGCTAAATGATCTGGGCATTCAACAGGCTATGCCGATAGTAGGACGGTCTCTCACATCTCCATCGTCGTATGAAGAAGGATACAAACACGAACCACGACATCTCTCCAAAAGGGTACTGGGCGAAACAACAGGCCACACAATGATAGCATCCCGGTTCTTTCCTCGTACCGCCTTCTCCAATACCTCTACTCTAGAATCCTCACACCTCGCCATCCGTCACGTTGTCGAAGACGGCTCCCTGACCTTCCATGGCATGAACTACGCACCTACCCTCTCGGTTTCTGGAAACCCCAACAACGCCGTGAACCCTGCTTTCCGCACCACAGTTCTACATGCCCAAGCCTATGAGCCAAACGCACACTGGGATGGCCAAGCTCCCATTCTCTCGCATGAGGCGCTGACGCAAAGGCATGAGAGGCTACAGGCCTATATGGAGGTTTGGCGGGATGTCACGGTAGGGAGTGGAAGCTATATCAATGAGGGGGACGCGCAGGATTGGGAGTGGAAGGAAGCGTTCTTTGGGAGTAACTACGATAAATTGGCTACAGTCAAGAAGAAGTATGATCCCGAAGGGTTGTTTTGGGCGATTGGGGGTGTTGGCAGTGATGAGTGGGAGATCAGAGATGTGGATGGTAAGAAGAGAGAGGGGATTGTCACGCAGGATGGCAGACTATGCAAGGTAGGTCTGTAACTCGGATCCTTGAGATTCCAAGGAAGAGAGATGGGAGTTGAGCTGTAATCAGGGAAATATAAGGGTTATCTGGCGGTTTATGAACGACTAAATTTGAACTAGGCAGTGTGAGAATTTTGTCGTTCCCATTTTACCTACATGGGTCCTGCTGGTCATGGGTATTGATGGCATGATCTTTTATTGTCCGGAACAGGTGCGGGCTTGTTGTTGGCGTGGAAGGTGATGACTTCTGGACTCCCATCCAGACGCCTTCTTTTGCAAGTGGCGACCACTTCGTTCGCAAGGTCTTCTCGTGTCGTTACCTCCACGTCGTGGAACATGCTATGTTCCGGCAGCAAAGGCCAATCAGAAGCATCTCCCAGGACGGGTACGTCGTTCAGAGAGAAGTCATTATCAGCGTTTCTGACATAATAAACATCCTTCTCTTCAAGCTTCATAACCGTTTCGGCAATATTAGCTGCCGTGAAAGAATCCCATGTCGCCTCTTTCAGTGGAATTACACGCAGCAGCCGTATAGCGTGAAAACGGATACGATGGTGTCGACACTTGATAGCCGTGAAATACAACGGCGCTATAAAGCCAAACTCGCCAATAGAATCGTGGAGATTGACATTATCCGGGATGGATCGAGCTAGAGAGTATTCTTCAAAGATGTGTATAGCGTGCATAACTATCATGAGAAACATATCGGTATACGCTTCATACTGCTGTTCGGAGTAAGAACGCAAGCAACCGCACATGACGCTCGCCATAGCGTGATGCATAAGTAATGATTTGAATACTGATGGCTCGCGATCTGTTGGGAGCTTTGTTGGCGGTGTCTTTGCGCCAAATGATAGCGGGTCGTTGGGTCGCTTTCCGGCAGCTAGGAGTATCTTGTCGATCCTACACATCGTACGCTTGTAGATTTCGTACCAAGTCGCAAGATGGCTTGTGATTTCATCTTGTGCCGATGTCACTGCAACAACATCATCTTCAGTTCCAGCTCCTGATTTTCGATATCGTTGTTTGATCAAAGCTATGCGATGCAACAGCACGTCCAGAGTGTCCTTTGCTTCTTCAACACTTGTGAAAGCAGGATACGGCATATCGTTTCCAATCGGTTGCAGGAATAGATCGACATCCTCTAGACTGGAACCAAACAGGCTGCTCTGCATGTGCAGAGTCGCAAAGCTGCGTACGATACTTCGATCTACGATTTTCCCGTGTGAAGCCGGTCTGATTACCAACACACCGTGATGAGAGTCGTCTTTCTCAGTAGCCGTATTTTTCAGAAGCTTTAAGCCATTTCGTAAGTGTGTTTCAGCAATCTGGTACCTTCCGCGGAGGTACTCTAGTTGAGTGAACAACTGACAGGTGACCAAAATAACTGTGATGGAGTCTTTGTCTCCACGTTGTAACAGTGGCTGTAATGATCGGATGGCTTTGGTATACTGCTGGAGCACAAATTTCTCCCGCGTATCTGGAGCTTGTGACGGGTTGTAACTGCATCTGTGCGCAGCACTCAACGCCACAGCAGCATGAAGAACAGCAGGTTCTGACGAAGCTGCCGGCAGTACAATCGAGCTCCAAAACTTCGAGGCAAACCAACCCGACGTTGTATGGACGATCCTAATCCTGTATAGTTGTAGGTGTCTGAGTTCTTCGACGGGTAAAACTTTGGTAGGAGGCTTCTGAACTGAGACTAGCGAGGTATCGTTTGTAGATGCTCCGCCATATCTCTCAACGTAGGTATCCCCCCCGCCTCCCCACAAGCCGTAACCCTCGCACGTTCGACCAGTAGATCGGCAACGAGAGCACACAGGCTTTGCTTCATCACACTTAACTCTTCGGGCTCTAGTCAACGTCGGTAAGCGTTCATAGGCACAGATCCACAGACAGCCCAGACCGTTGAACAACAGACCGCCAATCGGACGATCCTGGTACCCTTGAACGAAACAAACCACTCACTTGCAGGTTCCACACCCTGTCTTTGACTTCCTCCGCACAGTAGTGCTCTGATGTTGGCATGTAGCTTTTGCAGAAGTAAGTTGATCTGACACGACAGATTCTGAGTGCATAGCGAGAGTAGTCCCTAGCTAGGGCAAGAACATGAAGGCGCTGGCTCAGATTATCTCGCAGCAAAGATACTCGGCGGCTCCAAATGCGTCTCTTCAGAAAACAGACGGCGAAGACGTTGCGAGTTCCAAGACAAGACGATGACCCCTAAGCTCGCTAAAGCTCAGGGAAGGCACAGATGGCCCCTGCATAAAGCGTGCCCCCTCATTCGCCTGCTCGGTACAACCAAGTTTTGATTGGTAGGTCCTACAGAAAGCGGAGACGGGGCAGGACGCCTAGCTCTAGGAAATGCAAGCTCTTTCTCTAATTTCAAGTGCTTTAGCATGCCGAGTTCGACACTTGGTGGGGTACTTAAATAGATAATGGAAGTAATGGAACATAGTTCCAGAACAGGATATCGTGTTCGTTCGTCTATGGACTAGTCTATCATAAGCATCGCATTACCATGATCTCATCACAGAAAAAAAGAAAAGTTGAACAAGAAACTTTCCCTCGCGCCAAACGTAGCCCTGTATACCACGCCGACCAAATGCTTTTCACTTGCCGTTACGCCTACGCAGATGCCTCGCTTAAGAAGCTTCCTCAACGCCGTCAGGCTTTTGCGCCTCAGCGTCTGTCATCTCCGCGTCCTTTGGCTCTTCCGCCGGCGGCGCCTCAGCCTGCTTCTTGGCCTCGGCCTCCCGCTTTGCGCGCTCGAGCTCGGCTTGCTTAGCTGCGTGCTCCTTCTGTTGCTTCTCCATGACTGCTTGTCGCTCGCTCTCGATCTTGTCGTTGTAGCGCTGGATGATGGGTCCTGCGATGGAGCGGATGTCCTCCTTCTTGGAAACGTACTGTGCCTTGGACGCGTCGTCGCCCTCATCGTACAACCACTCCTGTATAAATGTTAGCGCCATTCGAGAGCCATGTATTGAACTGTACTTACCTCAATGGTCTCGAGCTTGGTGTTGAGCCTTGCCTTCTCGTCGTCGCTGGCAAAGTCGGCGTAGACGTCGAGGATCTTGTCCTTGAGCTCGTAGATGAAGCTCTCAAGGTTGTTCTTCTCGTTCTCGGTGTCGGCAACGAGCTTGTCCTCCATGATCATAGAGTTCTCCTTCTCGGCTAAGGTCTGCTTGCTCTCCTCGTCAAGCGAAGCAGTGCCTGCTGATAGTGGCAGGTCACCCTTGCGCTGCTGCTTCTTAACCTTGCGCATCTTCGGTGGCTCCTTTGCAGCGTCCTTGTCAACGTCCATTGCCTGCGCATTATCTGTTAGCTCATCTGTTATGTGCGCAAAAGCAGGACGCCCAAGTACAGGATCAGCGCTAGGCTTTCGTCGTTTCGCGGCAGGCTCAGGCGGACTTCGCCGGCCGTTACTAAGATCATTAGGAAATTCGGAAGAACGTACATCACCCTCTTTCTTCTCTGCTGACGGAGACTCGGGAATTGGCTCCTCGACCTCGGTTTCCTCGACATAGTATCCAGACTCGACGTTGAGTACACCGTGCACATTGAGGCGTGCCTTGAGCTTGCAAATCATGAAGTCGCCCTTGGGGTCCTCCTTGACACCCTTGACGGAGAATCGGCCAATCCATGGGTTCATCTTGCCCGGCAGTTGCTCGGGCTTGGCGTACCTGGCCTCAAGGTCGAATGGGTGTTTCCGGTAGAAGGTGAGGATCTTGGTCGATGGCATGACATTACCCTTGTTGAAGACGGTCAGGTTGGTGTCTTCATCAGGAATGTCCTCTGACTTCTCCCAGGTGAACTCGACAGGGTAGTTGACCATGTCGTGGACGGAGAAGTCACGGACACGGAATACTGGCGAGAGGATGGCGCAGCAGAAAGCGCATCCACGAGCGACAGCCTCATCCTGGTTGAGTGTGAAGGAGAGGGGCTTGCCGAAGTAGTCTTGGATCTTGGACTTGAGAACGGGCACACGTGTGCAGCCGCCAACCATCTCGATGGCGTCGATGTCGGCGGTGGTGAGCTTGGCCTCAGCGAGAGCCTGCTCGATAGGGGCGGTAGCACGGTCAATGAGGGGCTTGATCAGCTCCTCGAGCTCCTCGCGCTTGAGCATACCGCGTACATCGACGTCGTTCATGATGGACTCGACGTTGATGGGCGCCTGGTTGTTTGCGGAAAGGACCTTCTTGAGCTTCTCGACACCAGCAGCCAAACGGAGGCGAGCCTTGCCGTTCTCCATGACGTCGATCTTGTACTTCTCCTTGAACTCCTTGGCGAAGTGCTCGACAAGGGCCTGGTCGATGTAGCGTCCACCGTAGTGGCGGTCCCAGGCGCTCGACTTGACAGCCAGCTCACCCTTCTTGAACTCGACGACGGTAGCGGTGTAGTTGCTGTGGCCGATGTTGACGAAGACAACTCTCCGTGGCTTCTCCTCGGGGCCTGGGAGGTCGAGCTTTGTGATTCCCCAGCCGAGAGCGACTGCGGTGTTGTCGTTGATGAGGCGGAGGCACTTGAGGCCAGCAATGTCGGAAGCGTCGAGGATGGCGCGGCGCTGGGCGTCGGTGTACCAGACGGGGCAGCTGAGGACGACGTCGTTGACGGGGAGTTTCAGTTCGGCAGATGCTGTGGCGCGCATCTTGGTGAGGAACATGGCTGTGATTTGAGTAGCAGTGAACTGCTCCTTCTTTCCCAGGTATTGCACCTCAGCGCCGACCTGGCCGCCCATGTCGATGAGCGGCGCGGATATGAAGTTTTGCTCGACCTGGACATCGGGATCTGAGAGGTTGCGGCCGGCGAGGCGGACGAAGGAGGAGACGGTGTTCTTGAGGTTGGAGATTTCCTGGTTCTTGGCCGTCTCGCCAACGTATCTGCTCTTGGGGCCGAAGCCTACTAGCGATCTGCGAAATTGTAAGTCGACTGTCGTTTTGTGTGGGTGGGTGTGCGAGTGTGCGCTGGGGGTATACTTACGGTGTCGCGCGGTTGGAAACCTCATTTGCAATCTACGCACAGTCAGTATCTTGGTAGACGATAACATGCGATTAGGCTAGTAGTACTTACCACATCGACACCTCGATTCCGCGCAACAGCAATGACGCTGTTGAGCGTTCCCAAGTCAACACCTACTACAGACATGTTTATCTCTGATGGTGGGGTATATGTGCGTGTGTATGGGGTAGTGTAGGGAGTGTGTGCGGTGAAAGTGGTTTTTTTGCAAGGTCGTGTAAAAGATAGGCAGGCACGGGTCGCAAATTTCAATAAGCCGCTGCTCTGATGACTTGCTGGCAATACGTCGAAGAAAAGAGAACCTTCTCGACAAGCCCTGTTTTAGCGGGGTCACTAAAGAAAGTGTTGCGGAAGGCACGGACCACGAAGCAAATCAACCAGCAACACGCTGCGTCATGGCCCCATACACGTCGCAGTCACCCCCCGACGCGTCTAGAGGGCGCCATCCCATTCGAGCGCCCATGCAAGCATACACAACCGCCTTGGAGAACTCGCACGCGTCAAACTCGTCGACCATGAGATAGCTGACATCATCATGGCCCATATTCCCCCGTACCCACTCTACAACAGGACGTACAACCTGTACCGCCTGTCCCCGCTCCACTGCCACGACACGCCCCTCCTACTAGAAGCCTCACTCCGAACCCATGCCAAGCGCCTAAAAGAACAGCTCAAAGGCGACAATGTGCGAGGCGTCCAGGTCGACTTTGCCGGCGCTGAGGATACCGCAAAGCTGGGGCCGCTGGACGAGTGCAGCTGGGAGATGATCGGAGACGAAGATGCCTGGATTGACCGACATCGCCAGTCGATAGATGTCGATGCCTCGCACTTGTCATCCCTCTCCCAGCTCTCTCCAGACCGCGCGCGAGGACTGCAAGTGAGCCTCGAGTACGAGAAGCAGACATACAATGCGCTCCTGTTGCGCGACCCAGGCGTCACCTCCTCGCCAAAGGGCTTTACATCGCTACCACTGTTGCTTGTGAAAATGCCGGGTCCAATACGTGACATCTTTCTGAACTATCTCCGAACGACCTTCGATGCCTACGTTGCGCCCTTGAAGCTGCCCTCGCCCATCATCACTTCGAGTCTCGAGACATACTTGAAGCACCTCTCAGCGCGCTACTCGACCCAGTCCATCCAAGACATTATAAGACAGCTGCACGTCCAGCTAGCCTTCCCCAATAGTACAACTATCCTCAAGCACGTAGAGATCACCATCGCAGGTGCCGACATATCCGGTTTCGTCGACCGTGGCAGGCTGCTCAAAGATACCCGCAACAAGCCCTTTACAGCTGCCTTGTCCGCCTATCTCAAACAACACCTCGCTCTCGACATATCGCACCCCAAAGTTCAGATATCGCGCATCGCCTGCAACAGTTTCCACCTCGGCACCGAACGACTGAAACTCGTCGCACCCGACCCCCTTGCAGACACATCCTTCTCCGACGAAGGCGGCATGTCACAAGATGCAAGTGCAAGTGAGCTTGCCGTTCAGGAGCTCTATACATCGTTGGTCCGAGAGGCTGCTGGTAGCGGTAAGTTCCTGCCCGAGGACATGTCTAAAGCTTCAAAGAAAGAGACACTGTCACCTACGGCAAGTGCTCAAGCGGGGCGGAGGAAGAGGGCTGTCAGCACCGCTGCTGTTGACAGCAATAACAAGAAGACCAAAGCAAGAGCCAAAGAGAGCGAACGAAAAGTCAACGGGAATGATGACATGATTGGTGTCTCATCACACCTCATGCCGGGCTGAAGTACGTCTCGATAAAAGTGTTTGCATATTCCTTAGGATACCCGTTGACAGAGTCCTCTGCAACAAACGACATCACATCTGATCGCATAACATTCATATTGCATGTCGAAAAGTGCTCCGCCGTCGTGTGCTATCTCTCTTATCACAATGTTGCCACGCCGCATCAGGTTATCTACATGAAGGCTTGGATCTTCAGGAAGTCGGTGCTATGATACTTCGTATTCCTGAGAAATGCTCGAAACACATTCTGACAAAGAGCAATACATAGGCCACCATGGTAGACGGGCAGTACATACTCGATTTAGAAGGATTCTCATCCTGCGATAATAGACTGCAAACCGTCAAACCCGTTATCGAGGATATAATGCAACTGAAAGGAGGGACAAAACATCAGACTCCCGTCTTTTCACCCTAATATCTCTCCTATTGACCACTCTTGAGTCGCCCGCACTCGGATCATCAATTACTGCTATGCACGACTCGCTACATCAACGTCTCCGCAAACAAGGCATCATCATCGGCCATGCGAAAAGATACGGTGTCACACACCAAATATGCGGCCTGTTTTCCATGAAGTGCTGAACACACGAAACACTGTCGTTACCTATACTCCTGCACAACACACTTAGCATGCGAAAACGTATGGCGAAGTGCGAATTCCATCAAAGAAAGTGGATCCCTTGTAGAAGACCGTGAAACTTTTGCCTTTTGAAAATCATTGGGGGTTACTAGAACGAAGACCAGAATGAAGATGGGTGTGAGGGCGGAAGAGAAGCCGGTAGTACAAGATCACGAATCGAGCAGTTATACGGAAGGTGAGAAGAGGCAAGAAGGAAGAGACAAGTTGATTTCCGTTCACATGATGGCAGAAGATGAATCAGTAGGCTTTTTTCGGGCTACCACTGAGGTTTCTGAATTCGATGCTCTACCCTAAGTTCAAGCAGCTTGTGAATCTCAAAAGCTTGGTTTTCCACGGTCCTAACTCACATGGTCAAGTCATGCTTTTCCCCTTTCACTAATCGATGTCATTTGCCCCTCTTTTTGTTATAGTTCGTGTGGTCCTTGCACACGCGACTATCACAAACACAGTTTCTTGCGACTATGAAATAACTATTTCTCTTCGCCGTTCTTCTTTCTATCGTCGACTTCACATACACAGTACCCATTCTCTGAAAACTCAAGTATATATTCTCCACTCCACTGGATATGTCCGTCTCCACTTCTACGATGATAGAGATACGTGACTACGTTACCAACATTCGTTATATCCGTCGTCCTTCATCTGAGCTAGGAGACTACGGCGCCCTCGTCTCCAACTGCTTCAATTACTTCAACCGGAACCAAGAAACACACACAGTACATTTCCACTTCCGGCGGGACTCGCGTTGTGAGAATGGGAAGTTGCTAAAGGAGGATGAATGGGTCAATGGATCGTATGAGGTACTATACGCACACTTTGTGAGGAGAGTCCAAGCTCGAGGTCAAAGCAGCCTCAGCTTTGGACATAGGGCTAGAAAGTCGACAACACCTCCAGACGTCTCATCTCCCGAGTCTCCATGGAAACAGCCGCAGTTACCAAATCTTGATGATGAAGGGTTTCCCATCGTAGGAAATCCACCAGCTCATCCAGTGTTGGAAGCTTTCACTCCTGCCCCTACTCCCGTACCACCAACACCACCACCACAACCAGCTCCTCTACAGCCTCCTCTGACCGTTCGTCGAGCAGCCATGCAACGCCGAAACACAAATTCGATAACCGTGTACTCTATCGGCCCACCAATTCCAACTTCACACTATAGCACCACGTATTTCTCTGCCCCATACATCTTCATCCCGTTACGTCCTGCCCCGCCTCGACCATTGTCACACGCTCAGCGTTACAGTGATCCCTCTCCAGGTTTCAGATCCCTACCAACTGCAGAGAGGACCATGCTACGTGAAGACCAACCAGAGCAAGAAGTATCAGAGCCAGGAGAGCGCGCATCCGATGAGAGTTCGCTGGAATCCTTCGACTTTGACAACTTTTTTAATATTTCTTCGGAAGTGAGCCAGTATTCACCACGAAGACAACAAGAGCAAGGAGGAAAGGAAGATCAGGAAGGGCTCGAAGAAGAGGGTCGTGGGTCTGTTGCGCGTTCGCAGGATTCTTTTGGACGGTTCGTGACCAAGAAGACAGAGAGTCCATTGTTTGTGACAGATGAAAGTGAAAGAGATTTTCAGGGGGATTTGGCTTGGGAGACTGACGATGAGGAGGTGGCGGCGAGTGCGGAACAAGGAGCTGGTGATAGTGATGAAGGTGAAGAAGATTGAAAGTGTTCGTATTGGCATTTAGGTGTTAGAAAAGTAGAGCTGGAGGACACAACAAAAGTCCCTGTTCGATTCCAGCATGATATGATACATCTTGAAAAAATCCAATTACTTCACTTGTTTATTCGGTGTCAACTTATCGAGCTGTCGCTCTCTATGGTAGTTCAAGCATTACACCAAAGACTTAGTGATAGTTCTGCATTCCTCGTCTCTCGCGACGCGTCTCAACTTCAATCTTTGTGCATAGTGTAAACGGTAGCAGACACAGTATACTGCATCTTGAAAATGATATTCAGCGCACGATACTCGCCATCAGAATCCTCTCGATAGCACTCCGCAAGACTAAGGACAAAGAAAGATACATTCAGGTCATAACGACGTTGATGAAACGTAACAGGGAATCATGAAGGAAGGAAGAAAATCAAACTAACACACCGATGCGAGTATTCCACTAGCTTCAGTGTTGACGACCAGAGATATTCGGCCAGCATTCACCACACATACTCTTGGAACAGAACAGGCGATGGAAACCACCACATACCATGCGATTGTCGACCCCGCCTCATGTGTAAACACTTTCCGTGAAGGAGTTCACCTGCAGTCCCCGTTCAGCCATATCAGCATTCTCAAGGAACTTCAACTGCATCCACACTAGATGCCCCTTCACGCGATCCAGTTCCGCTCTAATCTCCTTGACAGGCCTGACCATGTCGTACAAGTGCCCCTGCTTATGCTCCTTGTCGCCCGAAGGATTAGGGGTAAACTTATCATAGTCTTCGAACGTAAGGATACTGTCATCGGGATCGGCGTGGAACAAGGACCTGAACACCTCGGTATTGGTGGTTGCGCGCTCGGTCCACTCGTCCCATAGTTTGGATGACAAGGGATCGGAGACAAAGTCAGCTTCGGGGCCGGGCATGGGATCGTTTGGCGATTTCTCGCCAGGCGGTTGCGCGTTGGGGTCATCTGCGGCATTGAGGGACTGGGGTGGGAGTAGGCCGAGATGTTCGCGCCACAAGCTGCTGCGAAGTTGGTGGGCAAGGCGTGCAGCTTTGTAAGGCTTGCCATCCATCTCCGTATCGATCTCGTCCGTATCCTGCAAGACAATCGAGAGTTCTGAATCATGGAAGCCTAATTGGGAGCGGTCATTGATGTTGGAAGAACCGCAGATAACGGTCCTGTCATCAACGATGCAGATTTTGGCGTGGATGTAGAGCTCCTCTTGGAAGAAGTGCTCCTTTTCGTCTTCCTCTTCACCTTCCCAATCTTCTTCACTGGGCTTCTTTTCCGTAAGCATGGCGTCGTCGGCAATCGAATCAGGATCAATGACACCGCCCTGATCACCTTTGCCTACATCTTCAGACTCGCTCATATACGCCTTCCTCAACTCAGCCGCTTTACGACGTGCCTCCTCTCCTCCTTCCTCCGGTGGTGCTTCCAGCTCATCGATTTCAGCTGCTTCAAGCTCCATGTACGTCATGCCGGACTTCTTCTCACGCTCCTTGAGCGTGGGTGTGACGTTGATGCGGTCGTACGAACGGAGGTTGAAAAAGAAGATGTACTTTTCGGGATCGACACCGGCCGCTTTGACTCTTCCGAAGATGCTTTCATCTCCTCTACAGATGCTCTTGAATTGGTAATCCATGATGGCGCGTGTTCCGGCAGCAGCTTGATCTCGCAGGTCTCCTGCGAATCCTGGAATAGCCGGGATGACAATGATCAGTCTAAAGTTGCGCTGCTCCTTGGCTGCTGATACCACTGCATCAACCATCGCAGCTCCAATCTGGTTATGGACAGGGTTCGTATCATTTTTTCCCGTCGCCGTGATGAAGAATTGATTCTCAATGTAAACATAGTGTTTCGCGTTGCGGATGAGCTCGCAGTATGCGTTCTGGATACTCTGCTCATGAGGATCGATACCCATGCTCCAGTCTCCGCTACTTCGGATTAATTGTGCATGTACGGTACCGCGATTGTCGAGATTTTTGCTGTTCAGCTGAGTGATGGGATGGTGCACGTATTCACCCACAGGAAACTTGGGCCTCTGCACTCCGATCAGGTCTTCGTCAGCGCCTTCTCGACCTTCCATGGTAAGCCAGTCATATCTTTCGTCACGCTTGTATTTTTCTCGCTTCACAAAGTTCCATCGCAGGACGAAATGTTCAGCGATGTCGTACACCGCCGGACCAATAACGCCCATAGCCACGTCGTGCCATGGCATGCGACCGTACTCGAGCTTGTTCAGCTTGTTAGATTTCCAGTCCTCAACACTCTCAAAATCCATGATACGGTTATTGTTGTAATCCTGACCAGGGAAGATCTGATTTTGTACACCAGAGGGGTGCGCATCGGAAAGCGGATGTTGCTTCTCGTCCCATCGTCCGTAACACAAGTCCAGTCCACCAATAAAGGCCATAGCATAGTCGATGACAATAAACTTTTCGTGATGTGCCCAATAGAATGTCATATCTGAGGCGTTCTCGAAGACATTGTGATCGGGATGTCTCATTACCTTGATGTTTCCGTATCCAGGTTCGCCCTCTTCAAAGAGGCCCATCAGTGCTTTCTTGGTATGCTGGCTGTTGCACGTGAGGGCTGCAGAAACCTGTTCAATATAAGCTGATGAATATCTGCTGCTAATTGACGACCTTACCTCCTTGTACACAGAAATGTAGATCTTCACACCAGCCGCGGCACGTCGCTTGAGCACCTGATCCAACCGAAAATGCTGGTTGTAGTAAGGCGGTCGCTTCAGGAAGAGCTCAGGGCTGAGCCACCAGTCTGCGATGTAAATGGTCTCTTTGGCCTGCTCCAATGCCTCGGCAACTGCCCAGAAGTAGTCTCTGCCATCTACATACCACTTCACCAAGTTACCATCTCGCTCCGGTGCAAAACTCTGGAACCGGTGGTTCTCTGCAATCTTACTCCTCTTCGCATCTGTTTGCTTCTCATGCTCTTCGTCATGGCGATGGTTGGCGTTGAAGAGGTTGGTAAATTTGCCAATCTTATGCTTCACATGCACAGCCTTGATATGCGCACCTCGCAGCTTGGTGTGCTCAAGTTTCTGCTCGAGCTCCTCTATCTTTTCAGAGGCGCGATGGTTGAAGGGGTGAAAGAGCTTCTTAAGGCCCTTCTCTTGAGAGGGCATCTTGACGGCCGTGCGCAGCGATCAGCAATCGCGCGGGGTAACAATGGTGATGATGAGGCTGGAGAGATGGAGAGGCTGAGGAGTGAGGCGTAGGCGACGTAGAGGCGATCAGTCGCGTGCACAGGTCTTGTACTGACCCGCAGGAATGGAATAACCTGTATTCACTGTGGAGTACTTGGCAGGTAAATAGGCATGGTGCGATCTCAGCCGGAGAGACCGATTGGTGACGTCACCTAAGGCTAGCCATGTTCAGGAATAGCATTCATGCACCTCCCTCAAGCGTCCATCGCGTCTGAGGTTACAATCCGCGATTCGCGACGTTGCGGAATCATTGCGACATCCGAAATGAGACGTATGACGGGTTGTTCTAAGAAGCTCATCTCAGCAAAAGCAAACAGCATGATCAGATCCATGAGTTGTTTCCTAGATAATGAGAATACCCCTACCCCGCGTATTCGGCCCTCCCGGTTGATTCCTTCCACCAGCCACCACTTCCGAGACTAAGCGCATGCACGCTGCATTATCGGCGAGAAGGCCTAAAATGCGGCGCATCATCCGAGAGAAAAGTCTGTGAGACTACAAGCTTTGACAAAATGTCATTAGAAGTTGCTTGCGTGGCCCGATAGACGTGGTCGTGTGCTAGGTGTGGAGCGACTGTGAGCGCAGTTTCTTTTTATCAAGCATCATGGTATCGTGGTCAATATGATTACGCATATGAACAACAACCATATTTGACAATAACATAGGATTGGATATGGGGACTACCGATACGACGATTGTTTCATAGCCAGAATAAGAACACATTAGACGTTGCCCACGAGCTATGACCCAAGTATTACCAAAGTATTAAATATTGACAACGCAGACTTATGACTGTAGTCGTACTCGTGGACAGGTGGCTCTCTGATACCCTCCAGTAAATCAGACCCTATAACAACGCTTGTTCAACGTTGCTTCCGAAACAGTCTTAATCGTAAGTACGTAGAGCGTGGATCATGGGAACGCCACCCCATGAACCATCACTATAACGCGCCTCTCCAAGCGAACGAAAGCAAGACCCAAATAAAAGAACACAGGCTCGTAACACGAAGCAATTGGATAAGCTTCGGCGCTGTATGACGTACCTGGGATAAACCAAAGGTAGGTCAAGATACTGCCGAAAGTCCTTGCAGAACATCGGTCAATCAGGCAACGACAACGACCGGCCATCCGTCCTCCCAGTCGAGGTAGTTGTAACCAAAGAAGAACTGATCGGCCTCGTAGCCAACACTTTGGCGAACTGCGTCAACGTCAGCTCAGGTTTCGTGTATCACGTTCACTCTTCCGCATACCATAATGATAATACATCACCGTCCTCCCATTGTCAGGGTGCGCCATAACACCCTGACCACCAGGCGCATAGATATCGCCATGACTGGCGAGGATCGTAGTACCGCCATTCTCTTCGAGACAACTCTTGCCCTCTCGGTCGTAGAAGGGTCCGGTTGGGACTTCCGAGCGGCAGACGACAACGTGATACACTTGACCTTCCGGTGCAAGGCCGTCCTTGTCTGATGGCTTGTTGCAGCACTGACCAACACTGTAGAACATGTAGTAAAAGTCCTTCTCTTTGTGCATGATAGCACCTTCAGAGACTCCGGCACCGATGGTACCATTGCGCACCAAGTTATTGATACGATTGTTGTCCGCGGCCCACCTACCAAAAGCTATAAGGTCATCGTGGGGAAATAGCTCAACTTGGAAGATGTCGTCCCAGAAAGATCCAAAGGTAAAGTAAATTGGGTCATTGGGCGTCTCTTGGTACACGAAGGGGTCGATCAAGTTATACTTGTGAGATAGGGGGAGACCGATATCA